AAAGAGCAATGGATGTCATCTGTTTGGGCTTCTGTAACGACTTTGACATGCTCTCCCCCTCCCTCCCCCCATCCTTCTCTCTAAATTGGAGAGATATGGATTTGATGGGTGAACTGTTTGGTGTCTGAGGACTTGGGTGGATGGTCACATACAGAAGTTCAATGGCTCAGCATTCAGATTGAGATTGGTGTCAAGTGGTATCCCTTATGGGTTCGTACTGGGACCAGTACTGTTTAATATCTCCATCAATGACATAGACAGTGAGATCGAGTACAGTGTCAGGAAGTTTGAAGGCAGCAACAAGCTGAGTGGTGCAGTTGACCTGTCAGAGGGCTGGAATGCTATCGAGAAGGACCTGGACAAGTTCGAGAAGACGGCCTATGTGAACATCCTGAGGTTCAAGAGGGCCAAGTGCAAGGTCCTGCATATGGGTCAGGGCAAGCCCCAGTATCAATACAGGCTAGGGGTGAAGGTATTGAGAGCAGCCCTGCAGAGTTACTGTTCGATGAAAAGCTGGACATGGATCGGCAGTGTGCGCTTACAGTGCAGAAAGTCAACTGTATGCTGGGCCACATCAAAAGAAGTGTGGCCAGCAGGTCAAGAGAGGTGATTCTGCCCCTCTGCTCTGCTCTGGTGAGACCCCGCCTGCAGTTCTGTCTGACTCTGGAGACCTTATTGCAGCCTTTCATTGCTTGAAGGAGGCTTATAAGAAAGATGGAGACAAACATTTTAGCAGGGCCTCTTGCAATAAAACAAGGGATGTTGGTTTTAAAGCAGAAGAGGGTAAATTTAGACTAAATATAAGGAAGAAATTATTTACAATGAAGGCAGTGAAACACTGGAACAGGTTGGCCCAAGAGGTTTTAGATTGCTCTGTCTCTGAAAGCATTCAGGGACTCTGAGCAACCTGATGTAGCTGAAGCTGTCCCTGCTCACTGTAGAGAGGGTTGGACTAGAAGATTTTTATCTAAGTCAAATTATTCTGTTATTCTATAAAAATATGTATAGGTATCTAATAGCAGATCTGTTTGGATCTTTCAAAGTGTAGAATACTAGAAAGGATTAATTTGCTGTCATGATAGGGAAAACTGTGGTTTTCATTTCTTTTTTCTTCTTCATAGTTAAACCATAGAAAGTAGGTAAAATATACTGAGGTTTCTGAAGACCGAAATTTGATCCTTTCTGTGTAATAATTTCTTTAGCTATAAAACAGACCCAGAAGCAATGTCCTAGACAAGATATAGAAGTTACAAGGTGATTTTAACCTTTTACAATTACAAGCCACTTCTATTTGTAGTTCAAGTAAACTGTTGAAGTAAACTCTCCACTTCTTTTTGTTCTTGGTTCTTTTTTTTTTTTTTTTAAAAAAAATCTGTTCTCTGAGGGGAATTCTTTAAAATAGTGTAGGCTGCTGCAAATGCAAAGCTTAATCCATAGTGATTTTCTTCTTTCACAAAAAATACATTGAAGCCATGGTCTTTACATTCTATCATCTGATGTCTTGGCAACTAAAATCTATCCTAAGCATTGTCAAAGGTGGGAGACAGAGGTTTTATTTCTAACTTTGATGTTTCTCAGGCTTCTTTTGGGAACATTGCAATGGATAACTCAGCCATCTTACTAACTTCAGATGCAATGCAAAGCATTTGAAAGGAAGGATTTTTTGCCCACCAGCCCTTTTTCAAAAAGTTCCTGGAGAGCTGAGTGAGGGAGGCAGCTGGATGGAACAGAGCTGAGAAAGTTAGGGTTGCTGGTAAAGATCATCTCCATCGCTGTCTAGCTCACGTGTCTTTGGATAGGAATAGCAACTGTGGGAACCGCTGCAAGTGGAGCAGAGGGACATACGTCTCCCTATTTCAGCACTATGATCCAAAATAATCAACCTCTAATTGCAAATGGATCTGAAGTTTATAATTATTACACATCATTTTATTGCTTTTCATTTAGATCTCCAAATCTAGTTTTCAACTTGTGATTAATCTTCCCCATAGTAATTAAAAAGAAAATTTATTTCCATGTAATAGACAGGAGTGATTGACTATTTTGTTAAGGCTATTTAACGAGGCTAGTTATGAGCCTTAGCAAGAGTAAAAATGTTATTTAACAACTTTCCAAGAATACTGCAGAAATAAAGCCTTCATTTAAACACGTCTCACCACATGCATCCTTGCTCTTGAGGGGAACCTCTCAACTCCACTGAGATGATAAAAGTTGTGAAGTATGTTTGCCAGGACCAGTCTTACCTTAAGCTTCTGGAGATACAAAGTAGTTTATAGCACTGGGTTTGAGTAAAATAAATGTCAATAAAGAGGATGTGTAGAAGAACCTGCCTTGGACCTAACTGCAACAGTTGCAATACCATGATACACAACTTTTATGTAACTCCTGGCTGTACTGTCTCCTAAAAATTAACCTCAAAGCCTTAACTTTATAAGCTGTGCATGTATATTATACACAACGTACTCCTATTCATATGCCAAAGATCTGCAGCGAAATTATTTACTATCAGCATAAGTCTCTTAATAATTTAAGCCTTTAATCTTCTATAATATTTTCTCTTGCGCACACTCTCTGTTATATCTCACTGTCTGTTTCTATGCATGCAACCTTGTTTCAACACAAAAATGCTATTTCTTTGTAACACTAGTTCTTTTTTCAATAGCCGAAGTGTAATCTTTTCTTATAGTTATAGTCTGATGGTAATTGTCATTTTTAAGATAGATTGTGTTATTTCTCTGTTCTCCTGCTTGAGTTTTTTGAAATTAGGGTGGAGATAGGGAGCATTATTGCAATAAAATTTTTACGTCATTAAGATGTATCAATTTAATCAGGCATATACAGAGTCTACTTTATCCAGGTTATCAGATCTGTTGTCCATAATCTCTTACTTTTCACTAAGCAACGTGGGAGATTGGAGGACTGAGGAGTTTCAAATCTGTATGTGACTTTGACAGCCTGGAAGAGAAGGACATGTGCACTAAAAGTACCAGCAGAACCTCAGTGAGGTTTTTTTCCCCTTAGCTTTCAGCCTGTATGTCTCCTCCCACGGCTTCCTACATAAACTAGGGCTTTCTGGTAGGATACTTCAGCTATTAAGGAAATACGTTTAAAATAATTTGAAAAAGACCTGGTAAGGATCTTGGAACCATTAAGTATGGAAGAACATTTCAAAGGTATTATTCATATATTGTATGCTACCTATGCTGATTTAATTGATCACTGTTGTTATAATGTGAATTATCCTTTACTAAAGTTTTTTTTTTTTTTCCCCCTGCAGGTTTAAGATTTCTAAGAGCCCTTAGACTGATACAGTTTTCAGAAATTTTGCAGTTTCTGAATATTCTTAAAACAAGGTAAGACTTTTTCTTAAATACTATGTTACTTGTGTTTGTGACAGAACATAAATGGGCTAAGTTTGTGATCCTAGTAATATATAGTTTTGTTTTCTGGAAAAAAAACAACATTTCTTCTCTGTTCATTAAACTTTTTTCTGCTGATGAGTGATTCATCAGTGTCAGCATCTTTTGCTATGTGATCAGTAGATTTTGCTTGATGTGTTGTTACATATGAAATATCTGAGCAAGACTATGTGCAGATAAATTAAAACCAGAATGAATTACAGAGCTCTGCACTGATTAAAGATTGCTTCTTTCCACATCATCAGTCTATATTCTGCTGCCTTGGAGAAACAAAAATCAAAATTCATTCAACAGAATACAGTTTTAAAGTATTCTGAGAAAAAATCATTGTGGCGTTGTGTCAGATTTTTTGAACTGAACATCCTTCTTCACATCAAAAACACATTAAAAATTAATTTTACAGAGCTATCCTTATATTTGTTCATTGTCAGTAGCATTTCTTTCAAAGAATAATTAGAATACTCCAAGTAACCTTCTGGCTTTTGCTGGTTCTTTGGGCTATTAATATATGAAAGTTGTGCAGAAGCAGTGCAGCTTTGAACAAAAGATCACTTTGAAGGAAATAAAAAGGAACTTCCACATGCCTCACAGTTGAAGACACATTGCCTTTCATCATTCTCTAAAATGCCCCAGGTGCAGTATTGAACTCAGCTTCCAATAATTACTGGAAACTCAGTTCCATTTTGAAATCTTATGCTCTTTCCACCAGTTGATGATGCATGTATGAGGGTTTTATATGCAAGTAATTCTGTTTACTTGCTGGTGGGGAACTAGATCCTTGAGATTTGTACCTACTCATGGTAAACAGCTGTTTCTGCAACCCTTAAGTTTGAAACTATTTTCTTTGCTATAAAACTCTTACATTATCTGTCTTTAGCTGTATGAGTGTAAGGAATCCAGTTCTCATCAAATAGAGAAATAAAAGAATGTGCAGTAAAGTTGTAATCCAGTAGCTTAGAATACTGCCAGTATGGTAGAGGAGAGCAATTCATGCATAAGCTCAGGATATCCAATGACTTTGCATTTAACACATGGAACTACCTCAGCAAAAGAAATGGCAGTCAGTGGAGAACCCCCATAAATTCAAAGGATTTTAGATAAAGGCTAAACCCCCTTTAGGAGTGGTGGATTTGTAAATGAAGATCTGTAAATGAAGGAATACTGCATTAATTACATTCAGTGTAGTCAGAGATGACTTTTTCAAGATTGACCAGTTCATTTAAATAGCATTTTTTTCGTGCAAAATTTGCTCTTAGATTAGGTATCATCATATTTATGATTATTTATAGGAATGTCCAAATATCTGTAAACCTCAAATATTGATTATTAGAAAGCCTGTAAAGCAGAGCTTCCTTATATGACTGCTTTGGTTTATGCAGCTGATTAATCCCTAGCAATTCATCACCAACACCATTTATTTAACTTAAAAAATGTCAGTGTTTCAAAACAATTCTTTATGTCTCTCTCTGGTTCTTCAATAGAAAGTCAGGTCTGCTCTCTTTTGCATCTTTCTGAGTTAACCTGAAATGAACTAAACAATTTGGAATATTATCAATACTTACGAAACATGATTTTGTAAAATGGATTAGTCGAATTAAAGCAAATTAACTTTTACAAAAGTTTTTAGTTACACTTGACATAAACCTGACCATGGCAGTGCCTTGGTTTTTGTTTGTCTTCAATGAATTTAGCTTTTAGAAAGCAAAAAATCAGAAAATTCATTTATTACTGCTACTACTAAGTTCAATGAGAAATTTTCATGTTTTCAGCATGGTCTTAAGTACCATCACAAAGAAGAGCAATGGTTCATGGGGTGGGTACATTTTTTCCATTACAGTACCAAAATACTTTTAAATGAGAGTTTCTAATTCTGCGTTATTAATCTTTCTCAGAAAAAAAAAAACAGCAAAAAAAAGCAATCCACTGAAAATTTGTGGTTAATGGTTAGTATTTAGTAATTTTGCAAAAGTTAGAACCCTTAAACTAGTAGTCATTTTTAGTTAAATTGAATTTGCTTCCCTAAATTCAAGTGGTGATTTCTGTTACATACAATAATCTTAAACAGTTATTATTACCTTAAACTCTTTATTGTGGGGTTTTGACCAGCTACTGCATATTGTTTTACTTGGGATGGTTAAAAAACTCATAGAATTAAGATACTTTAGCATTTTTGCAATCCGCTTTAAATATTTTAATGAAATTTTCAACACTGTAGTTTGTAAAGACTGAGGATTTAGTGACAGAACTTGAGCTGCCCAACTGAGATGGCAAATTAAGCCTATCATTACTAGTTCTGAAATGGTAGTACAGGAAAAAAAACAACAACCAGCAAACCCTCTTTTTTATTGTTTTAAAATTCTTCAAAAGATGAAAGTGTTGTCTGTTTGAGGTGGTAGGATTTTATATCAAAAAAATATGGAACTCATTCAACTAGAAGCATTTCAAGTGTACTTGACAGTAACTGAGAAAAGCTGAGAAAATGATAGGCTATAAAGAAAGGGTAGTGATAAGTTTTTAATATTCGGTGCATTAGAGAAGATATTCTGTCCTTCTTTTCCACTTTTCCCAAGTATAGAAAGAAGCTTACTCTAACCTATAAATTAAAATTACTCCTGGAATTTGTGACTAAAATAGGAGGATTAAAGGAGCATCTGTTATTTACACAACAGGTATAAGAGCCATTCCATCCAAACACTGGAATCCAAAAGGAAGAAGAGAAAAGATGCAAAAGTAGAGTCAATGAGAAGACTAGAAAAATAGTGTAGGACTGACAGATAATTATTAGAATATCTGAAATGTTATTAATTATGTTCGAAAAGAGCCAGTAAGGCAAAGCAAAATTTTACAACAGGATATTCAAAGACCGTACACCACCAAGGATTTATTTGTTTTGCTAATTTGAAATTAAATATCTTTTATTCAATAAATTTTGCTCCTCTGTTTTATGAAATAGAATGAATTGGGTGGTTTTCAGTTCAGAATTTCTCTCCTTCACTGTTTTCTAATATTTTTCAACAAAACTACAGAGGCTTAGACAGGGCTCACAGTAAGGGATTTTGCACAGATGTTGGAAAGAGCTTAAAGAGGAGGAAAATGTTTGTGACTAATCCTTCATCTATATTTAGACTCTGGCAGAAACACAAGGAGTGTTTCAAAGAGGAGAGATAGGGTACAATTTTTAATATATTTGCAAAATAAAATGTACCCAGCAAGTTACTCTTAGCGGCTGCTGTCATTTGCTGGTATGACAGTAATACTTGGAGACCATCTGACACATTATTGTATCAGGAGCCTGTCCTGCTTTAGGTTCAGGACAAGGGTGATACTTAGCCCTTCATAATGAAGCTTTACATCAGCATGATTTCTATGCTTTTCTTTAATCTAGGAAAATATTGGTTAGGGTGCTGTGATATGACAAAGTAATCGCGAACAAAGTGTGAACCTTAGTCAACCATAGCTTAAGAAAGAGAGGAATAGGGAATATGTGTTGATGTAGGTGGATGCTAATTAATGGCAAAGCTGCTGGTATATTATCTTATTTTTGAGTACAGTATTCATTACAGTGTCTGTTGTATTACTCAGTTGTATTATTTTCCTAGTATGCACGGATGCCCACTTTGCTAATTGTAGCTCTTTAAAACTATTTTTAATGGAGCTGCTCTGATTAATTTTCCAGGACCATTTCTCAATTTTGAGTGGGAAATCATGCATATTTATTGTCATTTAATTAGTTACAAACAGAAACATTATTAATTCTGCTGCAAAACTACTATGTTGGTAGTGAATATTTCTTGATTTTTATTATTTTGTAATGTTTTGCTTTAGGAATAATAGTGATTTTTCAGAGGCATTATTCTTTCTTAGACATGTTGTAAAAAATGGAGGAAGGCTGTTTCCAGTACAGTTCCATGAAGGGGTATGATGATTTAGACATAGTAATACATGGATTTCAGTTCCTTGTGTGTTTGTTGACTCTTCTTGAAACCGTGGTGATTTTTAGAAGAAGAAAAGGATCAGCCTTTACTTAGATTTCTTCCACAAGCTTCTAAGTAAGGTATGTTCCCTCTTAACTGAGTAAAGTCCTTGCTTCAAAATCACTTTTGGCTACAGTAGGGAACTACTGTAGCTAAAAAGAGTCCCACTACAGTGGGACTAAAAAGAGTGTAAAATCTAATATGAAAATTACATAGAACTTTACAAAGGAACTGTAAAATACCTAAGTTATTTAATTTGGGAATGATAATTTTTTTCACAAAGCCAGCACAAGATTTACAGACTGACTGCAGTAGTTCATTAAGTGTATGCTCTAACTGTAGGAAAATAGTCTTGCCCTGTGTTTATGTATGCCAGTGTTAACATGTGATTAAGTATGCAACAAAAACCTCCTCTTGGTGTTAATTTTTCAAGCTTCTGCATGTCTAGGGTCAAAAGCACCATAAACAGAAAAGCAGCATATGAAAAGTGAAATAACAACAGAGTTGTTTATGTAAAAAATGTAGTGATTAGCAGACAATGATAATTGGCATCGCTCAGTTTAATTCATTGAACTTGAATGAGTGTATTCCAAGGTACCAGAATATTTACATGTAATTAATTGCTGGGATGTATTGCAGTGAAAAATGAGGAGTATACTGAAAGGGAACCGAATTATTTGTGCAAAAGTGCTGTTTATTTCTATTTGTTTTATTATGAGAACATGTATAGCTAAGGTTTCCGTTTTCTTTCTACTCTCAGATGCATTGGAATTTGTCTTTCAAGCTATGTAAATTATACAAATTTGAACTCTGCAAAGACACAACAATGTGTGTTTTGCACCGGCTTTTGATTAAGTTTTTTAGGGAGCTTGCTCCGTGTCAGAAATCAGCATCAGACCCTTTTAGTCTAAAGTGTGCAGTTGAATTCAGGTGCATATTAAAAACATGTGATGAGCTCCAGCCTAAGTTCCTCTTTGTTTGTTGATTTTTGGGGGATTTTTTTTTCAGTAACTCCATCAAGCTGGTGAATCTGTGCTCTATATTTATTAGCACGTGGCTGACAGCAGCTGGGTTCATACATTTGGTGAGTATATTTGAAAATACCTCATTGCCTTTTCCCATGGATCATCTGCTTTCCGTGCTACTTTAGTACTTGCTTTGGGCAGCATATCTGTCGAGTACAATAAAAAAAAAAGGCTTCGCAGCTTCCCAAAATTCCATATTCTACTCAAAACTGATTCTGAATGGTCAGACAGACATCCTTAACCGCAGCGATAAAGTAGGAGACTTGGGACTGCTGCAGGTCGCCAGGGGACGGCGCGGCAGCAGTAGGTGGCAGTGTTCCCCAACCTACTGCCCGGAACTCTTCTGGACCGAGCTGCCAGAGCTGGAGCGGAGTTGCAGTCCTGGGAAATCATCGGTCATGCCAGGAGAAGCGGTTTTCTATTTCCACGAGCAGTTATGGGCATGCTAGCATTCCGGGTTTTAGAGATTACGAAATTTGTAATTAAATTTCAAGTATTTTTTGGTGTGGCTTTCACTGATAACTTCGATTATTTTTTTTTTAATAGATTTTCATTCTGCACTTAACAGTACCTGAAAAATGTAAGATGATATAGAAGTACTAAGAAGTTATTAGTATCAAATATAGCTAAATGTTTGTCCTTTAAGTACATTTTATGATCAACTTAGAATCAGGAAAATTCCAAGTTACTAGCAATAATAAGTTACTCAGGATGGTTTTGGACTAATATTATAATTTAATTCTATTGATGTTAGTCTAGAGCAATTTAATTGACTTCACTTGAATTACCTTGAGCTGCAGCCAGCTATATAAGATTAAGTTCAGAATGTTTCTCTTAATCTCATACTAGATAGTAATTTATTTTTCCCTCTTACAAAGATGCACCAAGATTTTGGTGGATTTTGTTTTCGATGTGCTGATGTACTTCCCATTGAGGGACGACCTTTTTTTTTTCTTCTACACACTTCTTGACAAATACAGTGTTTTGATCGAAGAAACATTAGATTTTCTGTTTTTTAGCAAAACAAAAAAACCAAGGTATTTGAAATTACATCAGAATGGAGAGAATACCATCTTCTAGGCTTGGATTTCACTGGGGTGTGGGTGGGTTTCTTTGCTTTTTAGCCTAGAGTTCTCTATTCTACTGTAGGAAACTTGAAACTTTTACTGTAGAACAAATTTTACAGGGCGTGCTCCTTTCCCACTGATAAATTTGTAACTGTCACATACAGTAGCTCAGTAGCTAGCTTCTTGGAAAAGTAATAGTGTATCACTAAACTTAAAGTGTCACTAGTGCCTTTAATAGCTGCATAGTGCTTTAAGATAGAAACACTAAATATAATTGTGTTGCAAGTAAGATGCACTCTGAAAAGGTTCTGAACAAATTGCTATAAAATGAACTTACCTGGCAGCATTAATAAATTATGTTATCTAGTGGTGAATGGAAAAGATACTCTACATAAATACTATAAGTGGCAAGGCTGTGTGGATTGGCAGGAGAACTATAATGCTATAATTGGAACAGAGTTAAGTTCTATATTTGTTCAAAATACATCACAGGAAAGGATCCAAAGTTTATATCATCTGTCAGATTATGTATATATGCACACTCGTGCCCATGCATATATCAGTACAGTTAATTTCTGGTACTACTCTATTAATTCATTGTTTTCTTGTACATTTTAGGTGGAGAACTCAGGGGATCCATGGGAAAATTTCCAAAATAATCAACCCCTAACATATTGGGAATGTGTTTATTTACTGATGGTTACAATGTCCACTGTTGGCTATGGAGATGTTTATGCAAAAACAACACTTGGTCGCCTTTTCATGGTCTTCTTCATCCTTGGGGGATTGGTAAAAAATATTATATTATTTCCAGCTACCTTAATACTTGATCCTGTCTATCTTAATGCTGTAATTAAAAATAATAATATCTGATTATAGCTTTTATAATAGATAAATATTTTGGCAGAACTTGTTAAATTAGTTCAGTTTAGTAGAATCAGAATTTTTCTAATCCTTTTAAATGAGTAATGCATGTGAATACATAAAGTGCCTTAATATTTCAACTTACGATGTTATTTGTAGTCCTTTACTTTTTAGTGACTGACTGTAGTGCATTTTTTTGAGGCTGCTATTGATACTTAAAGGCACTTTGCGGTTTCAGAAATCCTACCCACCCTTCTGTGTTCCTTCCCAGAATTCCAACAAACACTGTGGCTTTGGACTGCCTTAAAGAGCAGCTTGCCTGATCCAGATAATGGCAAACCACATTCTCTTTAATTGCAAACATCCTTTCATGTCATGTAGCATAATTTTAACTCACAATTTATCATGTGGCCATAACCAGTGTCATTTTGTATCAGCAAATTCTTGTGCTCCTTGTCCTATATGTACACAGCACCGAAGTCACTAATTGTCTTACGTCAACTTTTCTATTATTTACCGGTATTAGAAATATTATAGAACCTGTTGCAATGTTATTCTTTAAAATAGCAAGGTTTATTTTAGTATTTACACTGTGCAAGGTAAGTGCTTTATGGATGATATGATATATATTGTGCACATGCATACATACTTATATTGTTACTTTACTCTCATATATTGATTTCACATATACATACACCTTACCGAAGTGATATGTATATAATTAATGTTATGAATCCTATATATGAGAAACACAGAGATACATATATATGAGTATATATATGAGCATACATATATGCATTCCCATCTATGTTTATTGCCATATGAAGACAAAGACAATTTAAACTGGCAGTAGCTCTTCGAAGTATCCAGCCACAACGAAGATGTTTGTTGGACAAAACATGGCAGAATAATTTTTGTTTTCTCCTCAAACCCTTTTTTCTATCACGTGTTATTCCAATCCTTTTAAAAACATAAACTTTTGGAAAAGTTTTTTTTTGGGGCGGGGGGTGACCTTTTTGTTTCTTGAAAGGGGGAATAACCCCTGATTTCATCTTGTTTTTGTCTTCTTTTGAATCCTAATAATGGGGGGAAAAAGTCTGTCTTTTAAAATAGAAATGTAACAGCACTGATAATACTTGGTTTTGTTTTTTGCAGTGGAGTTTGGATAGGTTTTTTCCCCTCTCCTCTTCAGGAAGAATTAGACATAACTGTGTTTTATGATTAGATACTAATTTGAATTAATTTTGTTCTTGTTTTATTTTGTGTGCCTATTTTTCTTCTTTTGACCATTTTCTTAATTTATAAGGTGTGCACCTTCTCCAAGACTGACTTTTACCTTGAGCCCTCTTGTTTTGTTTGATAAGAACTTTTACGTTTTTTAAATTTTCTTTTTAAACAACTTCATAGATCTAATTCTTTTGCATTTTCAGATCTTAAAGATACATATCTTCTGAAAATATTCATCATCCCCCTTTCTTTGGCCTCTCTTTTTAGTCTTTTCTTCTGTCTCCTATCTTCTTCTTAGGCCATGTTTGCCAGCTACGTCCCTGAAATCATAGAGTTAATAGGAAACCGCAAGAAATATGGTGGTTCCTATAGTGCGGTTAGTGGAAGAAAGTAAGTATCCCAAGAGGCTCTGCTGCCTCTGCTGCAGTAGAACACTCTCTGCATGCCATTTTCTTTTTTTTTTTTGTGTTTTTGTTTCATGCATGTAGGCAATGTTTGCTCGCTACGTGCCAGAAATTGCTGCTCTCATCCTTAATCGGAAGAAATACGGCGGGACTTTTAACTCAACCCGAGGCAGAAAGTAAGTCAAAAAAGACCAGGTGTGGTTGTGTGACTTTAAAGAGCCCCTGAAGGTGGTAATAGCTGACTCACGGCTTACAAGGCTGTACTACTTGACATCAGATGTTACCACTGGAGAGTTGTCACACTATTAGAGACCTGGGCTATGCTACGGTACAAGTCGCAACATTTTTCTCCCTACTTCAAGAGAACCTGGATGGCACTAGGACTACACTGACATATCATATAGACAAAGGCTGCTGCTGCATGTGCAGTTAACTTCTGGAACAAGGTTGACTTGTCACTTCACAGTTTTGGGCGTCAGATTATCATGTGGTCATCTCTTAACTAAGTGACAATGATAATTCACATGATTTTCAAACAACTCAGTTCTTTAGAAAGCTGGGGTTTATTGGAGTGCAAAAGATGAGATTTATGCTGATCACGTTTTCAATTAGACTGACTGTCAGAAGTCTGATAGTGCTGTTTCTTTTTGTTCAAACAGCAGATTCAGATCTCATGCATCTCTTTTTGACTTCCTGTGAATACTGCAAGCACTCATGTTTTTAGGATCTATGATCAGGGATTTTAATCTCTTCCACCCACCATGTAAAACTCATCCTAAGAAGAGGAAGTAGTAGCCTTAATAGCACTAAAGCATGGAAGAAGAACAAACCTGGAAAAAACCCAAACCTGCAGAACCCCACTCGTTTTACCTAGTAGCAAAAGTTAAATTGTGTTGGACTGCAGAAGCTCATTGCATTTCTATTGAAAGCCTGCTTGTATTCTTGACCAAGTTAAGCTCTTCCTGGCATTCCCAGCATCTAGATCTGCTGGGATATAGCCTTTAATGAACTAGAAGTATGTGGTGATGTAGTAGTTTCTCCTCTGTATCACCTTTAGTGTTGCTGTCTTTTGTTTCATTATGTGTCATTGTGACATTCACTGGTAGGTATGTTTGCCCTAAAAGACTAGTCGTGTAGAGACCTTTCCATGTAACATAAAGAAAGTACTGCAAGCAATTCACCTAATTAATTGTCCCTCTCCTTACCTGAAGATATGTTTTTTACTTTATTCCTTTCAAATCATCACCCATGCATCATTTTATAAATGTGGATTATTGTTTTATCAAGTTGTTTGTCCTCTCTGTGGAGCAGAAAGTCTATAAATACCCTACAGAGCTAATTCTAGAGTACTGTTTTACATCACTGGGTATATAAGTATTTTTTTTCTTTAGTTATAGCTTATACTTTTGTATGTTCAATAATGCTCAAGCAATTAGATGACAACTGAAAACTTTAATACTTCTTTTTTTGTGAGATACCTTAAGGGACTTGGTTTTTTGTTGTTTTTTTTTTTTTACTGTAAACACTAATGCTGAAAACTTGTATCATAATTCAGTTACCCAGATTAACAAAATTCTTTTAATTTATTTCTGAGATAGTGTCATCAATTTCCCAAAATGTTATTCTGACAAAGGCCTACTCAGTTTCATATATGTATTCATGCGTGGTTTCTCAAAGAGAGTCAAACACAGAACTTACAACTCTTATTTTTGAGTCTTCAAAGGACTTAGAAGAGAGGAAGATATGTTTAAAAACTATTTTATGCAAAGAGTTTTAGTTTCTCCCCTTCTACCATTGTCACTAGTGCCTAGCATTGCTCAGATGTCTCTAAACTTGGACCTGATCTTCAGTCAGAACCCCACATCCTAAAAAGCTAAACTCCAGATTACACGCTTCTGCTAGCTTTGGGGCGTGCTTAATTTTATTTTTTCACCTTTTCTTTTTATTTATATGCACTATCTGTTTGGGTTTTTTATTATTTTAGCTCACTCTTAGTGCTTACTCTGCTGATCTCTACTGCCCATATAACTTGTCGTTTGAAACTCAGCTCTGTCATCAGCATACAAACTGTTTGATTTACTTTATGCATTGTTTTCTGGTTCAATTATTAATTACCACATAGTTTAAGGATGTCCTTTGCTCATGTGGGTCTTTCATCAGAGAATCTAAGCTTGGGAATGGCACAGTAAAAAGCCATTAGCACCCCTTGTTTGATGTTGCTTTTGCAGTCAGTAGAACAAGATTGATGAAATGTTACATTTGGCCAAAATTTAAGTTTGCATTTGGAATTCGGTGTTGAGAGAATGGATTGTCAGAACCAATAAGTTTTCCTTTACTTGGAATATGAGCATGTGGTTCTAATTAGCAATATAAGGTCTTTAGTTGAGCAACCAAGCATAGATTCTGGCAGCAAACATAATGAGACACTACAGTTGTTCTATTCCTAATGACAAAAATTTTTCCAGATAAAATTAAATACATGTACAAAATGAAAGCAGCTAAATTTTGTTGAAAGATGGAGTTTCAGCTCTAAAAATAGCAACTGTGTATACTTTTTAACTTTCTCCAAAATAGATAAATACATGGAATCTGCTTTGTAGCATTTTTATATGTTTATACATGTTGCCTCATGAACTGTATCCATTGAATAACATGCTTCTTTGTGATTATTAAATGTTTAGGTGGGAAGTTAAAATTAGTATATGATTATGTATGTTTTGAGGATTGTACTACATCACTTTAATAATAATAAGGGCCTAGCCATAGAATTGTCATTGTTGAAACAGCTAGAATGTATGCATAAAAATAATTTCTACAAACTCCGCTGCCTAAAGAAGAGAAATGACTAATAAACTAGTAAGTTTGATCTCACAGTTCATTTTGCTTTTCAGCCAGAAAAATACCCAAAGACCTCATGAGCTATATAGGAATCATTTTGCACAATAAAAAAAGCTTACTTCTCACTTAGATGAGACACATACATTCGGAGTTTGGAAACAGAAGTAGTTTGTAGGTGGGATGCAAATGTCACTAGTTAAATTTACTAGATACTAGGTAGTTTTGTTACGGAAGTCCATAGGGAATTGTAAATTTAATTTGTAATCTCTGCTTTGTAATGTAGTCCTGTAATGACTTTTCTAAGCAGGAATTTTATTATAGTCTTTCAAGTTTCACCTGTTAAATAAAGAGTATTGACTGTTGTCTGTATACCAATACACATACCAATGTATCTGTACAAAATGTGACTGAGACCAAACATACACATTTAATGACAAGCAGGATAGTGACTTTGACACAATTACACCCTAGTGTGAAAAAATTTAAGAAGTTACAAAAAAAAGTAACTTGTAATCAATGAGATTTGCTTTATAGTTACCGAGATAACTGCTGAACAGTGGTTTTACTACTGTTTACGGATTAGCTCATCATAAGTCTGTATAGTTTTTACTATGTGCCCTGATACACCAGAATCAGGTGATCAGTAGATGAGAAAAATTGACCTTCTTAGTTTGGTTATACTCAGAATAAATGAACAATTGCTTCTTGCTGTGGTCATGACTAAATAAAAATGATAGAGAAAAGCAGACTGTAGTTACAAACACAGAATATAGATGATACTAAATATATATAACTACTATGTAATGGGGAAATAAAATTCAGACATGAGAAACCTTCAGAACTGTAAAAAATATTGTTTATTTCTAAGCGGGATCCTAGGATAACAGTGATATGGCTTCAATATTTTCCACACTGAGTACTACATAGTTTTTCTGTTCTGCATGAACACTTGAGTTGCTATTGTTTCTCCTTCCTATGCTTTCTCCCAGATGAGTTTTGTACTACATGATTTTACATTTTGGGAAACAAATTTGCAAAACAGCTATTGCACATAACATTCTTCACATACTAGCCAATATTCTGCTGATTTCTGTAGAAATAGGTAACAATGAAACCTGCTTTCTCTGTAGAACAGTTGGCATATTTTTATTCTTAATAGACTAGTAACTGCCTAACAGAGATTTTGTGAGATTTAATAGTCAAGTTCATGCTTTCTGAAGATAAGAAATGTTTTTCAAATGCAAAGTAGACAATTTTATAATTAAGGTTAACTCCTACTAATAAATTCATCACCAAGCATTATGTTGTCACACTGAAAAACATCTGCAATATTGTGTAGGACGTATCTCATGAAAATGTTGCAAAACTTACTAGATCACTAAGGAATAAACTAATTTCATAAAGTAAATTAGTGACAAACTAGTATCATTAGGAACAGATTAAGTAGTTAGTAATGACAAAATACTGGATAGAAATACTGGAGATCAAAGCTAGATGGAGCATGCACTTGTGTGGAGAAGGAAAAAAAAGTCTGATCTGTTATTACAGTGTTATAAAAAGTCTATAGATTAGACCTTAGTTTACAAAATCATACATAATTATATATATATA